ACTCGGCGACGAGTTTCTGAGAGGTGGTGGAGGGGTTGGCTGGAAGAAGAGCTCTTACTCAATAGCTAGTTACTACCGAGGAAATATATTGAACGGTATTTAAGTACAATGAAGGTAGTAATGTAGCGAGTGCATGGTAGAGTGCATTAGATTAGTCTACCATGTCCAGTGCAATACCCGAGACCTATATATCTTGAAGAAAAGTAGTTCACTGGTGCTGGCAACCAGGAAAGTATGGAGATTCCGAAGCAAGTACGGTTGTTTTTAACAACCGCCCAAAGTATGCCATAAGGCTTTGCAAAACAAACTGGGAGCCACGTGGGTCAGGAAGCTCGCCTCACAAAGCCACGTATGCCTGCGGGTATATGATGGACTTTGTCCTTAAGTCGTAATAAATAAATTAATTATACTATTAATGCAAAAAGGAATTGACGGACGGCCTTCCCTTTGGCCGATTGATAGAAAATGTCTGGTAAATTAATTAAAACATGCAAAAATGGAAAAGGGATATGACGAATAAGTTTTCCCCTTTTACCTATTTTTACTTTTGAACACATGTCACGGATGCCTGCGGGTAATGGTGGTAATTGATCAACAGCACAGTGGAAGCCTTATGGCGGAAGCAGTCAGTTGATCAATTTGTGAGTCCTGACTGCTTGGGTGCGGCCCTTCGGGGAGTACTCGTGGTGGTTGTGGTTGGCGAGTTCCTAGCTAAAATGGAACAATTGAGTGCAGCTAGGCCTCGCCATTCACCAGAGTGGGGTTTATTGTTCCATACACAATAAACTGTTCTGGACTCTGGTGCTGTTTAGGCCCCTACTTTGTGGGGATTGTCTAACTCGCCAGGGGGCGTAGTACGCTTAAAAGTGGCTTGGGCCACCGTGGGGTTAAGCCTTTCAGGCAGGAACCCACGTTAAACCCTTGCCACAAATTCTGTACATTTGGAACTAATTTACAATAGAAAATATTCTCAGTTAATTCTGGGTTTGCTTCTGCATTTATCGCGATATAAATTACTTCTGTAATTTGCAAAAAAGAGTTCAGTTCTTTGTAAATGCCTTTTGAAATAATTTCGATGCTGGCGGATACTTTGACTTCAGTACTCTTATTTGGCTTATCTATCATCGCTCCTTTGTTCTTTTTAAATACTTAAATTTCGTTAAGTTTGGTCTTGATTCCTTTATTCAGTTAATTTTTTCCTTATAATTCTTTAGCTCCTCTAATTTGTTTTCACTTGGTCCATTTCTATAGGTCTTGCCATCTAATGCCTCACATTTACAATTATTCTACTTATGGAGATGTTTATTTCATCTCTTCTCTCCATGTGAAGAACCTACGTTCTTTAGTTTCATTTTGTTTAAGTTTTATCAAAACCAGCTATATATTAATTTATTTATGTTCCAACATTCTGTACAAAATTGAGGTTAGGGAATCTCAGACACTTCCTAAGCATCTGTTATCGATAACAGTAGCAGCGCTGTTAATTAGCAGCCATTTGCACGCCTACCCTTCTATTCTTGTTATTTATATGTTTTTTAATAACCTGCACTACTTGTGGTACAGGGTATATTGTGTTAGTGCGGTCGTATGTAACATGCAGAAGGGCTTCAAGTAGATCCTCCTTTTATTATACCGCTCGATTCAGAATCATAATCTGAGTTGATCTAAACCTGTCTCTCCGTACGTCCGTCTGCCCGTCTGATGTTTGTCCATGTAAATTTGAGTTCAAGCTGCAGGTCGTAATTTCTGAGATGTTTCGATGAAATTCGGTGCAGTGACGCGTTTTCACCCAAGGGCGAACGCTATTGAAAATGGTTCGGATTCTGTCCACTTTTTCGAATACTTCCCATACAATGCCCTTATCGTTATATGGAAAAAAATGCAATTTTCAAAATTTCCCAGCAAAAGTGGCGAAAAAGTAGTTTTTGGGCATTCTAAATTAGTATGGAAACTTTGGACCAACAGGGGGCAATTCTTAAACCCCCATCGCATATAACGAAAACTGAAGTGCATACGACAAAAAAGGGTCTAATTTTCAATGATTCACGATGCAAATTATATCCTAATAGCAATTTAATATAAAAAAATTAATTGTATCAAATTCGGATAATTTCGGCCTATTTTTTGGATCTTAGGCTAGTAAGAATTTTCACGAAAATTGATCGTTTGTAGAGTAGAAAAGTTTAAGTTTTAATACGTGGTAATGAAAATTGAATCATAATAATAATTTCATACAATAATTAATTTTAGAAACTTTGGACTATCTACGCCTACGTTTGGATCATGCCTTATGTAAAAATTTTCACGAAAATTTTCACTTGTTAGAGTGGAAAAGTTTGAATATTTTTTGATGAAAATTAATCGATCCATAATAGCAAACTGATTGTAAAAATGGACTGTGATGAATTTTGAAAACTTACCTCAATTTTGAAGCCGCTAGGGCAAAGGCATTTACTTTTTTAAAATGTGTTCCAATAGTAAATTGTTATTGATTTAATTTTTGTTTTCCTTTGGCAAAAATACGAATTGCGTTAAACAATGTAGTATAGGATATTGAAATGTCGACTTAGTCCGACAATAATGTTTTCACTTGTTAATATTTCATTCATTTATTTAATTGTTTAATTCCGGAATATAAATAATATAATTATATAATGCAATATGAACAGGCGCCGTGTAAAACAGCTCAAATGTGATATGAAAAATTGAACAAAATATGTCAAATGTATGTGTAAACGAGCAAAATGAATAAATATACAAATAAAAAGTAAATTAGATAAAGACAAACATAATATACTAACTACAGCATCATTTTTTTTTTTAATAATTAAAAATTTATCCATATTTCTTAACATTGAAAGAAATTTCATTAGAATTTATTGAAGCATCGACCGAATATAAAATTTCGAATTCTCCAATGTGGCGAGGGGAAAATGTATATTTGCTACATATATATCTGGTGTTTGGTCTTTTTGCGTACATGTACACTTATATAACATAATGCGGATTCTCTTCAAACCGGAGAATTATATATGCTTCTGCTTTGCAGGCATTTGAGAGAATGTGACGTCACTTCTGTACCGAGCTGCAATCGGTCTCGTCGTCGCAAATGCGCTGCAAGTACATCAAAATATCTTCGGATCCACGTCATTCTTCGGGGACATCTCGGTTGCGAGTGATAAAAACAAGACTAGAATTGAGAAATAGAAAAAGGAACTAAAACGGGCTGCAATTGCATTTAAAAAATAAAAATAACAAATGTCTTAAATTGTTTTAATAACAATTCTAAATATAAAGATTTAATATATCTGTCGCCTTAAGGGAGAATAAGTAAAATTTCGGGTCGAAAGGGAATAACTAAATTTGCTTCATAACGCAAGCAATTGATTCATAATTAATAAACAATTAAGCGTACTTATCGCAACGCAGACATTTAGAAGGCGGTCGTTTTTTCCATTACCGAATGGTGATGCAAATGATAATGGCTTTAACAATTTTGCAATCCCAAGTGTGTCTCGATTAAGGGTTTTCTCTCAGGATAATAACTAAAATTTTGTCTCGAACTCAGTTAGCCTGTCGGTTGATGTCCCATCGTTACAATTATCCAAATTATTAATGAGCTGTAAAGACGAATCAACGATGATTGGTAACGACGCTCTGATCAATGGCAGGAAGGGAAGGCCAATGCTTGAATTCGTAAAAACTTTGATACTTTGCGTCCTGCTATTGGCTCCTCTTAAAATCAATCGCTTCATCGTTGTTTGTTTCGGTGTACGTAGAATTTAGATTTTTCGTTCCATAGTTTTCTGTATTTTCCTTGTTGACCTTAATTATACATACGCAAGCGTAATTTAGGTGAAAAATTTTCGAAATAATTTCGAAACAACAAAAATTCAATATGACGTATAAAATTATGAAAAAAGCAAGTAAGAACATGTGGTTGAGCAAGGCCGATAATTAAATATCCTACACCACATCGTCTAGCACCATTTTTTATTTTTATTATAGAACACAAAAATTATATCTTGCTTCTATATAAAGGCATTTGTTTCATGTGCGTACAAGTTTAACTACTACATAGCGCAGGATCCAAAAATAAGCGTAAATGGTTCACATTTTATAGAGTTCATTTTTGTATGAAATTACTATAATAATATGGGTCAATTTCCATCACTACACATTAAACATCAGACTTTTCTGTTCTACTAAGAATCAGTTTTCGTGAAAATCGTCTTCAGAATAGGACCCAAATAATAGGCCGAGATGGTTTAAATTTCGTACAGTTAGTTTTGTGATATTAGATTACTATTACGCTATAATTTTCTTTATCAAGCATTGAAAATGATACCTTTTTGTCGTATGAACTTCTGTTTTCATTATATGCCAGGTGGCTTAAAAATTGCCCCAGACGTTCAAAGGTTTTCATACCAATTCAAAATGCCCAAACACCATTACTTAGCCACTTTTGCCGAGAAATTTTGAAAATTGCAATTTTTTCCATATAACGAGTTTTGAAAATATGGCGTTATATGGGGAGTTAGTCGCAAAAAAGTGGACCGATCCGAAACATTTTCAATAGCATTGCGCCCTTGAGTGAAAAGCCGTCACTGTACCAAATTTCGTCGAAATACTTCAGAGACGGCATGAACAGACATCAGACGGACAGAGGGACAGACAGACTTAGATCAATTCAGTTAATGATTCTGAATCGATCGGTCAAATAAATGGAGGGCCCATCTTAAGCCTTTCTGCATGTTACATGCGAACCCAGTAAAAAGTATACCCTGTACCACAAGTGGTGTAGGGTATAATAATACGAAATACACAGAAGTAATAAAATAAATGAATGATAATAATTATATCTAAACCCTTAAGTCTCACACAAAGAACTCTGTGTTCACATTGGGCCTTTTTTTCACAACTCAGAATTTTCGGTCATCGGTTTGGAGAATTGGAGAAGAAAAAGAAAAAGACAATTTTACTTCATTTGTAGAATTAAAATGCAAAATATAAATTCGCGAAGACTTTTTCAAAACTCTTTCGATCTAAGACAATGGACTCGAAAAATGGCAATTTTGGCGAAAGCGTTGAAATTTTGTAAGTACGGTGAAGCTGCTGATGTTCTTGAATTGGTGCAGGAACAGCTACCACCGCCAGAAAAGAACCAAGTTCTTGTAAAAATTTTAGCGGCTCCCATAAATCCATCGGACATTAACACTATACAAGGTGAGTGCAGAGGTGTATTTGCTATTCTTCTATAACATCGAAATTAAAATACAAATTTAGGTAAATATCCAGTAAAGCCCAAATTTCCAGCCATTGCCGGCAACGAGTGCGTGGCAGAAATTCAAGAAGTGGGTTCATGTGTTAAAAATCTTAAAATAGGACAATGTGTCGTACCATTTGTAGCGGGCTTAGGAACTTGGTCAACACATGCTGTATATGACGAAGATCAGTTATTGCCAATTTCTGATAAAATTGGATTAGCCGAGGCTGCAACGCTTACAGTAAATCCTTGTACAGCCTATCGAATGTTAAAAGATTTCGTAGAAGTTTTACCTGGACACTGCGTTATACAGAATGGAGCTAATAGTGCTGTAGGTCAGGCAGTGCATCAATTGTGCAAAGCATGGGGAATAAATTCGGTTGGGGTTGTACGTGATCGTCCCGACATTCAGGACCTGAAAAATTATCTTAAAAAATTAGGTGCTACGGAAGTCTTAACCCAAGAAGAAGTTCGTACCAGTAAAATTTTTAAAGAAAATCAAGTTCCGAAGCCTATGCTGGCTCTTAATTGTGTCGGAGGAAAAAGTGCTACCGAAATTAGTCGCCATTTAGATGACAAGGGTGTTATGGTCACATATGGCGGTATGGCAAGAGAGCCAATTGCGGTTGCTACTGCCGCTTTAATATTTAAGGACATTTCACATCGCGGTTTCTGGATAACACGTTGGACCAACGAGAATTGCACTGCCCCTGAAAGATTCGAAATGTTTGAAAATTTGTTGAAACTGATAGAGCAAAAGCAATTTATAGCTCCCGTGCATGAAATGGTGCCATTAGAGAAATATAAAGAGGCTACGAAGGCATCATTAGATCTTAAAGGATTCGCTGGGAAAAAATACATATTCAAAATGCAGTAGTAAGGAAAGAAGATGTTGTATTCTATTGTGTAATGGAGAACCCAATGAATAGAGATTGTGTGTTTTCTTGAAAATCTGCGATTATTAAAATAGTCGCGGGTCGTTTGCACTGCGTTCATATTAATCATTTGTAATTTTTAAAGCGAGTTCTATCTTAGACATCGTTTCGTATCCGACTATAATTTTCATACATATAAGCGCAGTCAGTTCCTTTGGTAATGCCCCGCCGTTTTTTTTTTTTTTTCTTTGTTTATTTTTTGGTAGAGAAATATATGGTTGAAAATACGATTACGAATTATCAAAGTTCTGCCATAAAAACGATTCGATTATTGCTACTTCACGTGCTTCAATGCGAAGAGGGTTGCAAAAATTACCCCAGCCGGTTCAAAGTTTTCATACCAATTTAGAATGTCCTACTACTTTTGCTGAGAAATTTTGAAAATTGAAATCTTTTCCATATAATGACTTTTCAGAATAGGGTTTTATATAGGAAGTGGTCGAAAAAGTGGACAGAATCCGAGCCATATTCAATAGCGTTCGTCCGTGGTTGAAAACACATCACTGTACCAAATATAAAAATTACGTAGCTTGAGCACAAAATTTCATGGACACAACGGACAAAGCGACAAAATAATGGACAAGACAGACATAGCGTCTTCCTCTATATATTTATCTTTTTTTCTTTTGTTCTGGCCGAGCTAGTCAGGTGTAATAAAAATAGCCCCAGTTCCATGCGTTACTTAAAAAATGGCGCCCAACGAAAATCTAAGTAAGCGGACAATTTTTTTTAAACTCTCTGAGTAATTCAATTACTCTTTCAGCTCTTTTGCATAAATCCCTTTTTCTTTTTCAGATATAACTTGGTCACCATATTTGTTACAGACTAATGTCTTAAAACATTAGCATATCTAAGGCTATCTATCGGCTCTATTGAAAACTCTAACGCACTTGACAGTTAAGCCCACGACCACTGAGTTGTTAGTCGAGACCCCTTTGCCTACTCTGCCACTCAGGATGGTGCATAATTATCAGGCGTTTTAAAACGATATTATCAAACATTCTTGAACACTTTTTACTGTGAAAAAGAAAATATGGAAATTCAACGGCAACGTTTTTAAATGATTAATCCAGGTCGTAGTCACCACCTACATGCACAATTTTTTGAAACGACGAACGATAGTTGAATGATCCACATTGAAGTTGTAGACTAGCATTCGAGTTGCCAAGCTTTCGTCCTTTTCCACCTTTAGCGAAAGTGCCTGGTCGTCGAAATCTGATGGTCAACCTCCTCCCGGTAAACCATTCCCTCTATCGTCTTCCGTTTTTTCCGGCCTCACCGAAAAATTCGTTGAGGTCGCGAAATAATCTAACGAATCTTACTATAATCTAACGAATATGAGTATGATTATCGATACCAATTTGTAAAACATAAAGTAGAAGGATATTTTCATTCATAAATTTATAAAATATTCTAAATTTGTATTAAAATATAGCACGTTAAAGAGACAATTGTGCGCAAGCGTATTAATAATGAAATTAACATTGAACATTGAACTATCCGAAAAAGTGGAGGGTGAAGTTTTGCAATTTTTATTCGTCGCTGCTAAGCTTTGTGCAGTGTAAAACGCACTGAGTGCTTCGCAATTTTTTACACAATCATTGACATTTAGGGCTTCCACGTTGAACTTTGATTAGTCGATAACTGACAATTTGCATGAATTCAAACGTAAAAGTTTTGCGAAGAAAAGGTGAGCATATGTGCTAAGCGCCAGCAAAATAAAAAAAATTAGGGAGCATAGGTAATTAAATATACTTAAAATGCTAGAAGAAAGATGTTTGTTTTTAAGAGAATTATACCGATTTTAAAATCTTAAAATTATGAAAAAAAAAATAGGAGTGCAAATAAACTCCTGTAGACACCTTGTGTTCCCTCCAACGATAATTAGCTCCAGTCTTAACATCAATATCAACATCAGCAGTAGCGGGTATACGGCTTTCCAGTGTTGTTAACGCGACCAGGCTTTTCATCGTATTCCTTTTCTAGTATATGACCGTTTTTTTATTTGGAACTTAACGAAACTAAATAACCCGATATATATACATAACTAATTATAACTGCATATAAGTTATTTCGCTTCTAATGGTACTGAGCTTTACAATCCTTTTTCCCTTTCTTTTTTTGTTTTAAAAGGAAAGTAGGATAGAAGGAAACATCGTGGCCCCTCATACAAAATAATGGGCTGAAGGAGACTAGGGTAGCATATTGCGTCTCCCCTTTGTTTTCATAAGGGTATAACACGTGTATTCAATCGTCCATGGAGTGTCTGCGCGGTAAGATTGAAACGGTCTCCCGACCAAAATAGTTAGCTTTTCAATGAAAGGTGCGTCTGATCTTTTTACCTCTTTCACGTATGTAATCTTGTCTTCCCAAGACATCTAGACATTTTATGTTACATAACAATAGCGCCCAACGTCTAAAAGGAAACAAAACTTACGATACCAGATCGCAGGCGATTAGGTTGGAACTCTTCGCAATATAATGTATAAGATATAACTGCTTGCAAACAATAAAAAGATGCCCCTCACATATTATATTACATATCCGGGCATAGTAAACAAACAATGCCAACAATTTAAATTAAACGAATTATCGTTAGATCAACGCAAGTGCTTGATTTTTGTCATCGGATTAAAATCATAAACGAATTTTGATATCCGCACCGAGTTATTGCAAAATCCTACAAAAGAAGGCTAACGACCGAATAATTTGAGGGTTGATATAGCGCTTATAGAAAACCCTAAAACAGAGACTAAATACAGATTTGGGAAAAACAAAAAATTTGTTTGTATATTCCCGCTGGTTTTGTGGTGGTATACATTTTGCTCGCAAGTGCTCGTACCGAGAACACAAATCTAAGCAATACAGTACGGTTGGTCACCATAACATATATAACGTATATTACAAGCACAACAGACAAGTTGACCGAAAAGTTATTTCGAAAATGTTCAAATGTAGAAATTAAGAATGAAAGGCTGAAGCTACAACTGCATATAGCTGCTGATATTATTCTCATATCAGATCGCATTCTCAAAAAGGTCTATCCTACAGATACAGTTAAGCTGCAGTACACAGCCAGAAATACGATCGAAGGATTGCCATTTTCTCATCAATTTAAATATAATGTTAAATTCAAACACAGAAATGCTTTTGTTAAATGCTTCGTTCATTCTGTACATCAATGATCTTCCTTCGGTGATTAAATCCATCCATATCCTAATGTGCGCCGACCATGTTAACATGTTCTCTCCCTTTTTCTTGGATTCGCACTCGAATCACCTTCAAATTGACTTAAATAATTTGGTTACATGGCGCTCATTAAATAGTATGAAATTAAATCTAAAATATTCAAGAAGCTTTTCTTCTCAAGCAGGAATTTATTCACTGCTAAGTATTCCATCGGTTCAAAAGTTAGAAAATGCAGATTCGTTCGTGTATTTAGAGGCTGTGTTCCACCAAAGACTTCTGCACTACGAGTCCTCTTTAAACGAAACGACGCCTGTCTTAGATTTCATAAAACGGTGCTCCAAAGAGCTTAACGATTCTTACGTTTCAAAAAGACTGCAAATGTCAGTCCAATACTAGAGTATGCTTCTGTTATGTTGTCTCTTTCCTGCAAGTGCTATGTAGATTCAATTGAATCTGCTCAATAGCAATTCTTGCTGTTCGCCCTTAGAAATTTGGGTTGGGACACCCTTGTCTTTTTTGTTGTAAACATTCTTCTTGCACAAAAATGAACCTATCGACTTCAAATTTGGCAGAAACTTTAAAAGCTCTTGCACGCATGTTGGTATTGCAAATGGGCCAATTCGGTCGAAGGACAAGCCCACAGTACTACATAAGCTGAGAAAGCTTGCTTTTCAAAACGAATAAAAAATTGGTTATTTGCTCATTACTCACAGACCATAGCAGATATATGTACAAAAACTGTAGCGCATATTCTATGGGCGGTTCTGCAGAAATATGAAAAATTGATCACGCCTATCCTACATAATAATGTATCAAAATTTAATTTCTTTTCAGTACGTTCAGGGGAGCTTCAAAAACCGCATAAAGTATATAAATTCTTGGCCACTTTCAAATTTGAAATGCATCCACCCAAAATATGTCTGTCTGTTTACGTAACTGTATACTTCGTGTGCTTTTTGTGACCATAAGAAGTTTTTGGGATGACGTTTGTCCGCATAGTGTAAATATCCAGCATTATCGCCGACTACGAAATAATTATTGCTGTTGGGATTCCATAAAACCTTCTCCACTTCATTCACTATTTTCCATTTAACAAAACTAGAGTTTACCGATTGATTATCTCTACAATCAAATAAACGAACCCGACCGTCGGCGCAGCCGGTAAGAATGTGCTGAGCTTCATCGGGACTAAATTCCAACGATTGAACCTTTTCTTTAAAAACTGTTCCATAAGTTATGATGTCTTAAAGAAAGTTTACGACGCTAGGGTTGGTTCTATCTTAATTTCTCACGTGGAAATTTTAACATTATTTTTCATCCTATTCTAGCAATCTAGTTTAAGCACGAAAGTAGCACAGCGTATGTCTTTCGATCTATTTAGTAGCGGCGCGGGCGTGCAGACACGCTGTGAATTTGTGCGTATGAAAGGCCCCCAAGGGAAGGGACATGCCGAAATGCCCGTAACTAAACCCAAACCACCCTTTAGACGGACCTGCT